TTCGATCGTTTTTTACTGTACTCAAAAATGTCTTCTACTCTTTGAAAATTACTTATCTAAGTTTGTATCAATCACGTTCTATCTATTTACTTCCCGCTCGAGTAACCTGAAGCGGCCACGCTAGCAAAATCGTCCCACGCTGACAAAAAAGTCAAAACGCGCTTACAAGGGAAGGTCGTTCAGGGTGTGCCAAGCTTTTTCAAAATGGTTTCTTGCATGACATTGGGGCACATATGGGGACCACAGAACCATGGTTCATTTTTCCTGAACGGCCCTCTGAATACCAGAAAAGGGGTCCCTAGTTCGATTCCTCGTGGTGACAAATTTTTGCATTTCGAGTTGACGTTTCAAAATTCGCGCAAAATGGAGTTAGCATGAATAATTAGTACCATATTCATGATTAGGACCGTCAGTAACCCTTACAAATAGACTTTGATTGAAAAACTGGTGAAAAAGGTGTGACTACCCCCTTTTCTGGTATTCAGAGGGCCGTTCAGGAAAAATTAACCATGGTTCTGTGGTTCCCGCATGTGCCCCTATATGCAAAAGACCGTTTTGAAAAAGCTTGGCACACCCTGAACGACCTCCCTTGTTAGTCGTCAACGTGTAATGAATGTGAGCGTTAGCGAACAGTGATAATACGGTTTCTCTCTTTACCAGAAATTCTAGGTATCCTGCTCCGGAGATTGTGGAGGGCAAAGGGATATACTAATAATACCCGTTTGCACATACGATGTCAAGGAGACCGCATTCTAATATGCTTCGGATCATAATATCAGTAAAATCGTCGTATTCTGAGGAAAAAATATAAAGGAAGTCCGAACCTCTTTCCCTGATTTTGAGGGACCCACAAAGCATCCACCAGTAATCATACCTACATTGAATAGAGTATTTCTGCAGTTTTACGCACAATCTGCAAAGACGGTCAAGGCCGATCTGTCGGGCTCACTGAAGGCGCAGAACGAAACCGAATTGAACGACACACGATGCACGAATAAGGAGCTGAAGGACATCATGCGAAAAGTGAGACTGTCCATAAATCTTAAAGAGGCACCTGTATTTTGAATTCCATTTAGATCTCGTATCGTACACCATCATTAGCGAAACGCCTCATACAAAGGATCGCCGAGGAAAAATTAGGAGGTGACACAGGCCCGAATTGACCTTTCACTATTTTCAAAGATCCAAGAAAGAACTTTTCAGGAATGTTCGCGGTGTTCTGCTCCAAGGACGATTTTACCTATGTCTCTCGAAGTAAAGTGTACTGTCAAGTGGAACGCGATGACGTTGTCTGCTATGCGTTCCAGCATAAGTGAATTGCTAGGAGATGCCACGTCCACTAGGGAATTCTACCTCAGATGTGGTCACCTCAGAGACCTAACCACTTTTCGCGTTTGAAGTAGAACCAACTCAGAGCACTGCACTTTTCACATTCTTGGTTGATAGTAATTACATGTTTACGGCATTGGTAGTAATATTCCTGACATTTTATTACTTAATACGGCCTCAAACTATAATTAGTCGGTCTGAGTTGTTGCCATTAATACCTCTGTCTCTCTTTCTTGATATCTCTGTCTCTCG